ATTCTAGATATAAATTTCTCATCAAATATATAATTTGCAAATACTGTTTTCCAGTTTTTGGTTTGTCTTTCACTTTCTTGGTGGTGTCCTTTGAAGCACAAAAGTTTTTAATTTTGATGAAATCCAGTTGGTATGTTTTTTCTTTGTTGCTTGTACTTTCAGTGTTGTATCTAAGAAATTATCTAACTCAAGGCCACAAAGATTTTACACATCTGTTTTGTTCTAAGAGTTTTATAGTTTTACCTCTTACAGTTAGGACTGTGATTCATATTGAATTGATTTTTGAGAATGGTGTAAGGTAGATATCCAACTTCATTCTTTTGCATGTGGATATCCAGTTGTCCAGCAACATTTGTTAAAAAGACTGTTCCTTTCTCATTGAATTGTCTTGGCACCCTTGTCAAAATGAATTCACCAAAATGAATTTTCCACTTATTTTTGGCCTCACAATTCTATTCCATTCATCTGTGTCTCCATTTTGATGTCAATACCACATTGTCTTATTACAGTAGTTTTGTAGTTTTGAAATTGGGAAGTGTGAGTCCTCCAACTTTATTCTTTTTCTTTTCTTTTTTTTTTTTTTTTTTGAGGTAGAGTCTCACTCTGTTGCCCAGGCTTGAGTGCTGTGGCATCAGCCTAGCTCACAGCAACCTCAAACTCCTGGGCTCAAGTGATCCTCCTGCCTCAGCCTCCGGAGTAGCTGGGACTACAGGCATGCGCCACCATGCCCGGCTACGTTTTTCTATATATTTTTAGTTGTTCAGATAATTTCTTTCTATTTTTAGTAGAGACGAGGCCTCGCTCTTGCTCAGGCTGGTCTCGAACTCCTGAGCTCAAACGATCCACCTGCCTCGGCCTCCAGAGTGCTAGGATTACAGGTGTGAGCCACCGTGCCCGGCCGCTTTTTTAAGATTGTTTTTGGCTAGAGTGAGATTTGTATAAACTTAAGTTGGATCTAGTAACTCCCTTCTTGAAATCTTCTAATTGGTGACATCTAATTACATCTATCATCAAATTTCATCTCTAACTTCATCCACAAAATTTATAATCTGACCCCTGCCTATTTTTTCACCTCTCACCCATTTTCCCTCTTTCTCGCTGCCTTGTAGCTACATTGACCTATTTTCTGCTTCTTGAAAGCTTTAAAAAGCCATTACAGGGCTTTCGCATATACAAACACTTTCTCTTGGAGTGCTGCTCTTCCCTTCACTCTACCTAACTCCTACTCATTCTTCAGATCTTAGCCTAAATGCCATTCTAAAAGAAAGACTTGTTCCTATTATGTTTTAAATATTGATTTATCTTTTCCCAGTTAGAGAAGTAAAACACACATGTTCATTATAGCAAATTTGAAAAATAAAGATGTGTACACACACACACACACACACACACACACACACACAAATACAAGAAAATCAGAGGACAAGTATTTAATGTTGTAGAGACATCTAATGCCCGGGTTATTTGGTCCTTTGTTCCTTGTTTTCCTTTTCTGTTTGGAAGCCTGCAGAATTATTTCCTTTATAATTGAAATTGCCAGGATGTGTTCATATTGGGTCTATTGTCATTTGTTTTGCTTGAAATATAGGCCCTCTCATCTATAGGCTAGTGTCTGTTTACAGTTTAGGAAAGTTTTCTTATTTGGTACTTGTAATATAGTTTTAGTTTCTTTGATGTTGTGATTCTAGGATTGACTCTTACTTCTCGATTTTCTGTGTCACTCTCTTTTCTTGCTGTTGTTTCCTTTTCTTTTCACCCAACCCCTTTTAAGTTGAATAATGGGATGACATCTTAAATGTATCTTCTATATAATGGATACAGTTTTCTACATAGACATTTCAATGCTATATTGCTACCAATTGTCTTAATTAATGCTTTTTTCTTTGCTGATTTTCTTATTAAGCTTATCTTTTAATCTCAACCTAGTCTCACTTTGTCATTGTTTATTGAAGCTACTTTATATAGTGCATAAGGCAATACTGTATGCCCAAACATGTATCAAATGAGTGATGGAAGGATTGAATACATGCGTTAACAACAACCAGATCTTGGTTGGTGTAACCTACTCAGACTATCAAAATATTTTTCTAGTAATGTATTCTTTTTTTAAAAAACAGTTATACTGAGGTGTAAGTTATATACCGTAAAATTCACCTATAGTAAGGGTACGAATTCAGTGATTTTTAGTAAATTTTAGAGTTGTACAACTATGACAACAGTCCAGTTTTATAATGTTTCAGTCACTGAAAAAAGTTCCTTCATGCCTCTTTGCAGTTAAATCCCTGCTTCTATGCTCTGCTTTCTGTCTCTATAAATTTGGCCTTGTGTAGACATTTCATATAAATGTATGCTTATGTCATTGTTCATACACACACACACACACACACACACACACTTTTAGAATTGTTTTTATAAACAACTTTTTTATAAAGTATATATATATAAAGTATATAAATACACACAGTACATACTTTTGTAATTGTTGTCATTTTTAAGCATCTCTTTCTAGAGGTTACCTCCCTGTCTGCAGAGCTCAGCAATCAGTGGTCAGCCAGTGCTTGACAGTGGTTCCACTCAAACATCTTGAGCCAGTGAGGCTTTTGTCCTCTACGGGTAGATCTGTGTGTGGGTAGAGGAGCACTTTCAAAGTTCAGGCTATTTTCAGATCTGCCCTTGCTTTTGCTTTCACTCAGTCCTTTCATGTCTCCTCTGTTCCTGTGTGCTGCTTCAGGGTTGGCCACAAACTTGCCCCAACCATGACTGCAACCTCAGCCTACTAGAGCTTCCTCACCTGCCATCTCGTACATCACTTACGCTGACAGTGCAGCTGGGCATGTGTGTTCTTCACCACTCCAAATTCAGCAAACTCCCTTCCACCCCAGCAGTAAAGCTGTCAGTCCTGAGGCCTTGCCCTGCCCTGTCCTGCAGAACCTCTATATACTGAGTGGGTAGATGGCAAGGTGGGAGTAGCCTCACACAGACTCACGTTGTTCTTACCCAACTTTTAGCAGTTTTTGAAGCATAAATGCTTCTCAAATCTACCTTTGGTAGATTTCCAGAGCACTGAAAAGGTTGTTTTGTTAATTTCATCTAGATTTATAATTGGTTTTTGGGGAGAGGAATTGCCTGCCTTCTTACTAGGCTATAGTCAGAAATCCTGCCTCTCAGAATGTGTTCTTTTTCTAATGTAGTTAGTCATTTCCCCAGATATATGTGCTGAATTAGTCAGAATTCTCCAGAAAAACAGAACCAAACCCCTGTGTTAGTTAGGGTTCTCCAGAAAAACAGAACCAATAGGCAGGGCAAGGCAAACCATTAAGACTGCAGATTTTCTGCTGGGCTGAGACGGAGTTTGTTGAATCGGAGTGGTGAATGATACACATGCCCAGTGTGTGTGTGTGTGTGTGTGTGTGTGTGTGTGTGTGTGTGTGTGTGTG